TCAAAAATTAATCTATTGACGAAATTCGATCATACGAAGTCATAATTCGTCGTTTTAAGGAGTTATCCTGAAAAAGTAACTGGTAACGGAAAAGTTATCAATTACCTGGGAACTGGGAACTTTTCCGTTACCGTTACCATCCCCGGGAACGGTAACTTCCCACCCCTAATTGTGGAGTAACCTACCAAAAACAAATGAATGTTTATTTTCCATTTTCGTGTATTGTCAAAAGAAACCATCCATCATTCGATTGTCTTTGTCACCATGTTTGTCAGAACTCTTTAATGGTAACGTTCGTATCATTAACTCATGTTAAATAAAACGTTAACGTCAAATACAAACCAATATAATAAATATTGATAGTAACATTTGCATTTTCTCGTTTAATCAAGGATCACAATATTGTCATCTTCAATCACCTACCGGGGAATGTAACAGTATAATTTCAATTAATGAGCCATCTATTATATAGGCACCTTGTGATCATGCAATAAAATGTGCCGATGCACTGATACCTTCGGTTGCTTGCATAAATCTCAGTACATTAATTAAATCGCCGGTATCGAGAAAATATTAAAAATTATATTTTATTCCTTGGTCCATAAAAAATATGACCAAACAACTGATATCAACCTATGAAAGTACAATGAGAAGTTCATTAAACGACATTGATTATTCGAAAGAAAACCAATCAACCGTCATAACAACTATTAAAGAAATCACTTCACTTCTGTTATCCATACTATTTCTTTTCTTTTTATCTATCATATGTTTTTTTCATTCGGTGGATAAAACGGATAGTAGAAAAACGCATAGACACACTTGAAAAAGATATCGATGATATTCTATACGAATCAGCTTGAATTCTAAAAACATTAATCAATGTTTTTCTTCCTTCCTCTATAAATAAAACAGAATCGAAAATAAACAAATATAAAATTAAATTAAAAAATATGTTTCTACATACTATTCATAGATTTATTTTCATAGTGCAATCAAATAAAATAAATCACAAAATCTGCTAAAATACTTGGTTTTACAGCCAAAACCCCGCATCTTTTGTACGATGACCTCCATTGAAACTTATGTCATTCGATAGAGAATAAAATTCTGCATCGAACACAGCTACTTAAAGGGCCAGCACAGATTCTCAAGCGAATGTTAGCAAAGATTACTGTCAAAATCTGCTGAAAAACCAAGGTTTTCCGGCAAAACCCCCATTTTTGTCCGATGACCCTCTCAAAAGTGGCATCATCGGATAAAGCATAAAATTCTGCCGCCAGCACAACCATCTAGAATGCCAGCACAGATCCACAGGCGAATGTTAGCAAGAAATACTCGCATCCGCTGCTAACTTTCGTTACGTACTTGAAACTTGAAACTTGCACTTGAAACTTTCAAGTTTCAAGCTTCCAGTTAGACATGTATGTATAAATTAATGGTGATAATATGTATTTTACTAGGTAGTAGTTCCTTTCAAAATCCATATCCGGAACCACAATTCGGCAATCAACGACCGCCACCAATGCCATCAGGTTAGTCAAAGTTTGAAATGTGTTGAATAATTATATTTTACGGTCAAATAATGCAAGAGAATAAATAAATATTATTTGTTTTAGCCAATGGGCCAAGTTATCAAAATCCTTATCAACCGGCAAATCCATATCAACAATCAAACCCCTATCAACCATCAAATCAATATCCACCACCAAATCCTTATCAATCACAGCAAGGTAAAATAAAAATTTCAAACAGAAATGAACGTAAAAATTACTTTTTCTGATACAGAAAATACTGTTTAAATATCAAAGTTTTTCGAGAAAAATATCAGGAAAAGAATTTGAATGACCTAAGAAATCATCATTTATAACGGTAAAATTTTCTGTTCAAATAAGAAAAAGAACATTAGAGCATAAATTTTAAGAAACACCGAACAACAACAAAAAATCGTTTCTCCTCTAGGTAACCTAGGGAATCAAAATCCTTATCAACCTCAACAAGGTAAACTACTATTTAATTTATTTGCAATAATATGATTCGAATTATTTTTAAGGCGGTTATCCACAAAATAATCCACAACAACAACCATTTCAAAATCCTAATGCACCATCATATTCTCAACAGCCTCAAGGTAATATTACATTCTTTTAAATTAGGAAAACCTTTCGTAAACCAAACTTCTATTTTTTATTAGGTGGATATCCTCAGTACGGTCAACAACAGCCATATCAACCATTTGGTTTGTAACTTTGAATCATTTGATTTAATACTTGTACTCCTCTCACAGGTTACAGTTACAACACAAGTATGCACAATAATCGTCTTCAAGCAATAGCTCAACAATATGAAATAAGTGATACATTAGTACAACGTTTAAATATACTTCAACAGTTTGAAGTTGTTATACTTTGTGATGATTCTAATTCGATGAATACACCTGTCAATGGAACAGCTGGTACTTGTTGGGATGAATTACATGCTATTGTAAAAATTATTGTCGATATCGGTACTGTATTTGATTCGAATGGAGTTGATGTGCATTTTCTTAATCGGCCTTCTAAACTCAATGTGACCGATCCTCGACAAATAGTTGAATTATTTGCTCAACGTCCACAAAGAGTAACCCCTCTTACTCCTACTTTACGGCGAATTTTTCAAACAGGAGCAAGTAAACCTAATAATAGCAAACGTTTACTAGTTTTTGTAGCCACGAATGGGGCACCAACAGACAATCATGGTAATGTTGATATACAAAGTTTGGAAAATTTAATGCGAAATGAACGTCAAGCAAATAGAGTGTAAGTGACATTTCTCGCTTGTACCGATGATGATTCAAGTGTAGAATATTTGTCTCAATGGGATTGTACAATGACTAATGTTGATGTTGTGGATGATTATAAATCAGAACGAGAAGAAGTACGTCGAACTCGAGGACTCAATCATCCATTTTCATTTGGTAATTATGTTGTAAAAGCATTAATTAGTGCTGTTGATCGACAAATGCATGCTATTGACGAATATGAAGATAATAATAAATGTTGGTAGATTCTTAATTAATATTCAACCTAATTTAAAAGTGGTTTTCTTATTTGAACTTACATTCGCATAACATTTATTCAAGAAATGTGAATCGACATTTGATATTTTCTTATTTTATTTCAGACAAGAAGTAAATCATCTCAATTCAATAAAAACAATGAAAGCAACTAAATGCTATATATTGATGTTCAAAAAGAACTTAGATGTGCGTGCGTTGTTCTATAAAATTAATCATAAGATGAGGTAAACAAGAATGATGAACATTTGATGCATTCTTTCGTTGATTATAATACGTTAGAGATTAGAAAAAAAGATATTTTAGGAAAGTATAGATTAATCTATCGTATTCCTATTCTTATTCCTAATTTTTATTAGTATTAACCAACGACATACAAACTCCGCTCTTTTCTGCTAGCGTCTTTTGTGTCGGTTTCCATCTAAAGAAGAACACTGAACTCTTTTATCTTATGTTTATTTCTTATTACAGTTTTATAGTAGAAAAAAATTTCCATGATTTACGGTCGATAATCTTTCATAATTTGTTTCGTTTTTCACGTTGAAGAATAAATCACTGTTATTGATATTTTTCCTTACGTTTATTACTATGTATCAATGTCAAAAGGTAATTAATGACGAAAGAAAACTTAAAACTCTTCGTTCAAAAATGCTATTTTCTTCTCTAATCGTTGATTTGCTTATGTCATAGTAGGAATCATTAGAAACAAAAGAAGAAGAATTGTTTGAGAATAAAATGAGTTCGAAAAGCAAAATCAATATATAATATAATAAATACGTCTATAGCATAATAGTTTCTTGTTCCTTTCAATTCATAAAAACCATGTAACTAATTGCAATGTAGTTTTCAGTAAGATACTATTAGGACTTGACTTGTTTTTCTTTCATATATAATTGAAATCTATATTTCTAATGAGAATTGTATTTAATGGCAATAGATAGAAAGTCTACAAACAAAAAATAAGCACATTAAAGGGAAACCTGTTATTTTATTAAGATGTATTAGCAAGTTTGTTTTATTGTGGGCAAAATTTGTATCTATCAGATTCTTATCTTAAAAACTATGATAGCAATTAAGTAAGTAATAATATACATTTTTGCATATTGTTCGTAACAATAATAGTTGTCAATTAATTTCTAGTGATCAATGTGAAATAATAAATAATGAAAATATTTTTATTAAATCCATCAAATGTTTAAAGTTTTTCCGGTTTTCATGTTAATGAAAAAAACTCAATGTCATGTTCATCTGCTCTAAAAAATTAATCACCGTTTTAATTTTTATTAAGAAAATAATAAATTAGATATCTGTAATAGATTTAATAAGACGTTTATAAAATATTTGAGAAAAACAAGATTAGTTCCAATTAAATTTCAATTCAATAAGTATATTCGGCATTGATCTATATTTATCATCTTTATAAGGACATAGTAACTGACCACTTTTTTCTCATGTCTATAATGTTGGACGAACAATTGTCACTTCTTTTCTGCCGATTTTATTCACAAGTATCATGTTATTTAACTTGTTACTTGAACTAGAGTAAAATTTAATCCTTTCTCGGATTTTATACAATAATTAAACGTATCTATGATCAATTGATTCAGTAGACCTTCATTTTAATGATGAACACAAATTACAGTGTTACATGTAAAACTGAATAAAGTTTCAATTATCCTTCAGAATTGTTTAAAATAAAACGATTGACCATTTTATCGAGTAAGTCACTAATTGCAAATT